AACTGAAGCAGAAATATTGGCTGTACAATATGTATTTTGTATCAAACGCAAGGGTGTGAAGCGTTACTTCAACGCTCGGCCAAGTTTATTGATTACTTTTGCTTAAATTTTTTTTTTTGTTTTTTGTTTGCGTTTCTTTGCCAACAATGCCATGACGCACGCAAAGACTACAGAAAATGGCTTTTGCTGCTTTTCGATTTGCACGCTAATCTTGTGGACTTTTCAATTTGTGCTATTCACTTCAAATAATGAACAATGTTTATGAAAAAAGTATACAGTGGTTGCCTTGTGGCTTAGCATTGTATGTATATGTATTGATGTATTTTTCCTTGTAAAAGTCGAAGTCGTGCAAATATTAGCGTTTCGTACATTACAAGAGCATGCGACAAAAGTTTTGAAGATGAGCGTGCTGCACTTTCTTTTGTTTTGATACAAATTTCACATACAAAGTGAATTAATTATGGCGTTATTTGGTTAATATGATAATATGCAGAAACTATTTGTGCTTAAGTATGGCATATTAAATATCTACTTTCTTTCTTGCTTTTGCTGAAAAATTAGCAATTCTCAACTTGCTTATGTGATTTTACGAACATATGTGAAACATATTTAGAGTTTCTTGGCAAATTGCTATATCGTGGAGAATATATATAGATCTATCTATGTAAATATTTTAGATATGTGTGCACAAGTGTTTTAGATGCGAGCTTTTTACTTGTCATTGAGGCTAGTTAGCTGCTCAACTGGCTCGCATTCAGTTTGATATCTGCAGCAATACTTGCAGGCAAAATTCAATTTTTAAAGCTCAGTTAATCTAGACTTAACTTAAATTAACTTACCGAAAGAAATCATCGTTGATTACTCAACACGTCAACTTAAACCAAGAGCGGAAATATTTTGTTTTTGTGTTTTCTCTTTCAGCTGTATTACAGTTCACCACCTAAAATGGCACATCAAAAAAAAACCTTGCAAATAAAAATGTTTGCTTTCATTTATTTTTAAGAAACACAAAAACTAGAGTCTGGCAAGCCTGATTCTCTCACCGCCCTCAATTTCCGTAAGGCCGTAACTTAAGAACCTAAAATCTATAGGTTCTTAAGTTTCTCACAGTTTCTCATATAACAGGTTGGCCAAAATACAAAGTTAAGTTAAGTTACGGAAATTAAGTCTAGACTAACTGAGCTTTTAGATATTAGTGAAAATAGGCCACCTAAAAAGTTGCGCGTCCTAATAAAAGCTCTTGATTTTACAATTGTCTAACATGCAAATTTTGATCGCCATAAAGTCGTAACCATAAAAAGTAAGCAATGCTTTTTGGATATCCAGAAACAAGTACAATAAAAAATAAATCATGTATTTAAACAATTGTAGCGTTAACGATTTTGATGAAATTTTATACACAGATAATGTTTTGGATTTTAAGGTTATCTGAATAGGCATTATCTCCAAGAAGACTCGTATAAGGTTGCCACCTATTCGAAATTAGTTACAAATTAATTAAAACATCATAATATGGGTATAAAATGGAAGGTATTTCAAAGATTCCTAATTAAAAAATATTTTAATAGGGTTGCCCCCGATTTTGAATCGCAAGTTAATTTAATTTTTTTGAAAAAAAAGGTAAAATATTACTATTCATAGGTATCAAGAGAAGTTTCTTAAACAATGCTCTCTCTATATACAAAACGTTATCCCTTAAGATAATAGTGTAAGGTTGCCACTTATTTTCGATTCTTCACAATTTATCTAAAATATCGCAATATGGATATCAAATGAAAGGTATTGTTGAGAACTTTATTCTGAAAATATTTTCGGTCAAGGTTTCCACGCTTCTATGTAATACAAATTTGTATTTTGTTAATTTCAATCAGAATTTTTTGTAAGTATACGCTGTACATATACGCTCAAGATTTGTACTATTAATTCCAGCGTAACTCGGAATGGGGTTGCCGCCTAAATGTTAGAGTAAGAAATTCACTTACTAGGTATCGAAATCCAATTTTTTTTTCAATTTCAAAATATTTTTTTAAAGCTATACAAATCTTGAAAACTTAAAAAAAAATATGCGCTCCATGCAAAGTTCGGTCAACCTGGTACTATGTACTTATATAAACTACACGATGAACTAAAAATACTTTACAAACTGTAAAATTTACAGATATTTGAATTGACTATAAATACTCGGGTTACAAGGTAAAATTAGTTTGGTAAAAACCAAATCCACAAGCTCAGAAAAAAATTGTTGTTCTAATTAATTTTTGATTTCTTTAACCCAGATCCAAGAGTTTATTATAGTGGAGTCTGTATTTTTCCGTGAATACCAATGTATGTTTTTCCACTAGTTTTATAAACGCATGGGTTTTGGCTTTCCTTTTCTACCAAAAAAATAGTGCAAAACTATATATTATAGTACGGTTGGCAACCCTAGGTGTAGGGCAACTGTGCCATCATTTTGGATCAAAAACACGCCTTTGCCGACAAATTTAACTTGCGAGATTTACTCATGTATGTAGGCAGAATTTCCATCTTCCAATAAAAATGGACTATTTCGTACCATATTCCTCATGGGGGGTTTTGGAGACGAAAATTGAGCGGCTCTTTCCTGTAATTCAATTTTGAAGTTCGTTTAAGAAAAAAACCAAGTATAAGTTTAGGCCAATAAAATATCGGTAACTATAAAGTCATGGGTAGCGACATTTTTGAGGATTTTTCAGTGATCGTAAACCAAAATTAGTGGGATCTATCGACTATTCAAAGGGGTAAATTGTTTCTTTATAAATTAATTTAATTGCTTTTTTTAACATTTAAAAGATTAAATTATAATAGCTTATAGCTTAGACTATAAAAAAGATAAAAGCAGGCACCTTGACCGCACTTTTGGCAGTCTCGAAATTGTTACACAAATTTTTTGTTTTTAAGTTGGTAATTTAAAAATGACTAAAGTATGCAAGTCAAAAGGTGCTCATAAGTTATAAACTAATCAGTTATCAACAGCTAAGCGGATTTAGTTTATGAATTTCCATACAAAGAGCAATTTGTTTGCCCGCAAGAAATTAAGCATATTTCAAACTTTTTTTTTAAGCTTTAAACGGAGCATTTTCACAATTATTACACACCTTGTTAACGCTATACTTTAACATTAACGTGCCTTTGAACAATTTTCTGCTAAATTAAATTTTTTTTCTTCATATATTTACTCATTCATTACTATTTCTCTTTTCAACCACATACATATGTACATATATAGTTATATACACAGCCACGGCAAATTGTTTGCAACCTCAGACAATCAACCGCAAATGATGCTTATATAACTCTATTAAATGCTCATATTATACACTTATTACTCTTTGTGAATTGACAAGCGACCGGGCAAGTTCACAAAGACGAGCGAGACCGCTAATGGTCAAAGAGAAACAAAAAAGAAAAAAAAAAGTGCAGCCACAATAGAGGAGACGGACGCTACATAACTGATTGTGTGATGGTTTTAATGAACTCAGATGCCGCATTGTTGTATTTATTTTTTAGCTGGCTTAACTTTTTTTTTATATATATTTTTAGAAATTTTTTAATTTGTATTGTATTATTTTGGTACGCAGCTTAGTGTTTTTTTTTTCTGTTTTTCCACTCAAACAGCATGTGCTGCTGCTGCCATTGTAATATTTTTTTGTTTTCATTTGAATTTTTATTTTCATTGACTCTTTAGCACAACAATTAACACGTAACTGTTCAGGGTGCAATTCAAAACAACAGCAGACAAATGACGAGTTTAGGGTGCACTTGCAGCAGACAAGTGAGGAGTAGCACACGTTAAAAATTCCGAAATAAAAAT